TCCTGCTTCCCAGGCCGGCCTCCGGGCCACATCATCTACCCAGTCTCTGGTCCGCCTGGGCTCTCCTGATGATGGCAACTCAGCTCTGCTCAGCCTGCCCGGCTACCGTCCCACCACGCGCAGCTCTGCTCGCCGCTCCCAGGCTGGGGTGTCCAGTGGGGCACCTCCAGGTGAGGGGGCTGCAGGGACTTACCATACCCAAAAATTAGACTAGAAGGTAGATCCTGGCCTGGGGAAGCAGAAAGCTTTTGCAAATCAAGGCTGGCCTCTTCTGCCTCCCAGCCCCACCTGTCCCACCTCCTGCAGTCTATGGCGGGCCTTTCCTATCCATTTAGGGGCTGTGCTGAGGCACTCTTAGCCAGGGTGAACCACCAATGCTCACATGAGAGACCTGGGATTCCCAGCATGAGAGTGACACTGAGCTGGTGGGAGCTCTCACACCCTTCTCAGGTATTGAGGACGCTGGAAGGGCCAAGCCGGCCAGATTGTTCCAGGAGGCTCTTGCCCTTTGGGTTCCAGAGAGCTTCTGAGAATCAATTCTTGGTCCTCTATTCTTTTCTCTTGGGTGTTGGGTACCAAGCCTTGACAGATAAAATGTGTATAACTTTTTCTGACCTTTCCGGGAAGAGAGCAGCAGGCAAGCCATGAGAATAACAATGGTCTTGTGTGCCTTATGCCCACACCTGTGGCACTGAATCAGAATAGGACTCTACAGGGCTTGAAGTTCATGGGGTAGCGTGGAAAAGAATGGTGGCAGCAAAGGCTGTGATGACACCAGGGCAGCGGGCAGGTTGCTGACTCTAGCCCCATTTGCTCCAACTCCTCTCTCTACAGGAAGGAACAGCTTCTACATGGGCACTTGCCAGGATGAGCCAGAGCAGCTGGATGACTGGAACCGCATTGCAGAGCTCCAGCAGCGCAACAGAGTGTGCCCCCCACACTTGAAGACCTGCTATCCCCTGGAGTCCAGGGTGAGCCTTGGGGTCACTGCACCAGGCTTCCCATGTTGCCCCTCCTCCCTTGATATCCCAGTCTAGTATCACGTGCTGATCTAGCCTCTGTGCTAATGCCCTGTGTCTCTGCTGAGGGTGACCTTCTCATGCCCCTAGATGGAACCGTTTGGCAGGGAGGGCTCTTGGGGGTAAAGTACCTGTGGGTGGGCAGGAGCTTGGAGAGGAGTCTGCTAGGGACTGCTCTCCTCATGGTCCTTCATCCAGGTAGAGACAGAGAACAGGAAAGGGGCCCTTTTGTGGTAGGTAGCTGTTCCAAGTGTCTTTCTGGGGCAGCCCCAGTTCCTGCTCCATCTCCAGACAGGTAGGGTCCACTGATTGCTTCTTGAACCCCATGCAGCCCTCCCTGAGCCTGGCCACCATCACAGATGAGGATATGAAAACCGGAGACCCCCAAGAGACCCTGCGCCGAGCCAGCATGCAGCCAGCCCAGATAGCTGAGAGCACTGGTATCACAACCCGGCAACAGCGCAAACGCATCTCTTCAGAGCCCCACCAGGGCCCTGGCACCCCCGAGGTAGGTGACATTGGCTCTGTGTATTCTTCTCTTTAGCACTATGCCCAGGATTAAAGGTGAGTTGTTCTCTCTTCTTAAAGGGACTGATGCCTGGTTGGGGACTGGTGGGAAGGGAGACCTCTGGCTCAGAGTTGGAGAAGGAAATAGGTTGAACAAGTTGATTCACAGGGTCCACTCAGCTCTAAGTGGCCAAGACACCTGGCTTGGGATCTTCTTGCCACTATGCCTTACTGTCTTTTTCTTTATAGTCCAAGAAGGCCACCAGCTGTTTCCCACGCCCTATAACTCCCAGGGACCGACACGAAGGGCGCAGGCAGAGCACTACTGAGGCCCAGAAGAAAGCAGCTCCAAGTGCTGCTAAACAGGTTAGGCTGAGGTTGGAGGGAGGCTTGCTGGCAGAGCTGGAGCCACAGGCTGGCCTGGGAAGGCAGTGGGAAACTCTCAGTTTGACAGACCCTCTCCCACAGGCTGACCGTCGCCAGTCAATGGCCTTCAGCATCCTCAACACACCCAAGAAGTTGGGGAACAGCCTTCTGCGGCGAGGGGCCCCAAAGAAGGGCCTGTCCAAGGCCTCTCCCAGTAACCGCAGTGGAACCCGCCGCTCTCCACGCATTGCCACCACCACGGCCAGCGCTGCCACTGCCGCCATTGCTGCCGCCACTGCCACCTCTCGAGCCAAGGGCAAGGTGGAGGCACTGCCAAGGATGGGGGAGGGAAACCAGAGGAGAGCATAGACACCTCCCAGAGAGCCCCATGGGGCATCATCCAAGAAAGGGCCAAGATAGGCTGCTGGAAGTTGGGAGTTAAGAGGTGTCCCTGACCTGATTATCTGTTCATTACTGAGGAGAGAGAATAGATGACCCATTCCCACTGGAGCTGCATATGTCCGGGGCTCACAAAGTAGATCCTGGTCAGGGGGGTGGGAGAAGGAAGAGGTTCTCCTGAGCCAATGGGTGCAGGCTGGCATAACAAGTCTATGTCTCTTTCAGGCAAAGCACTAAAGGGCCAGTACCAATGTGTGGCCCCACCTGTGTCCCCGATGCTGATCTCATCTGGTCCTCCTTCTACTGTCCCTCTCAGTGCCTTCTCAGCTCCCAGGCCAATGGTGGCCAAATCCCTAGAGACAGTGATGCTCGTTCACACCCTGGCCTGGTACCTGGACCTTCACTAGCGCCTTCTCAGAGCTGGCCCAGAAGGCCTGGAGCTTGGACAGTGTGGGCACTCTTCCTACCCCGCCTCCTGATTTTTTTTCTTAGAGCAAAGTCACTTCATAACCAGATTTTGAGGCTAGTTCTGAGTGGCTGGATCCTTGGGCCTAGCCACTCTTCCTCTCAGCCTCTGGATCTAGAAGGGACCATTGGAGGAGCAGGCCCTGGTTCCTGCTGCTCCTGGTGGCTGGGCCTAGCAGGGACCCTTGCTCTTAAAGTCTAGGACTGGTCATGACCTGGTGGAAGTATCTGTCAGAGGATGCTTTTTTTCCAGGACAGATGGGGCCTGTGTCTCAGGAGTGGAGGAGACAGCCTCCAGCGGCAGCTCACACCCCATCTTCCCCAGACTTCTGCTGGGGTGGGATTTGGAGCGATGGAAGGTTTTTAAGGGCCAGGATGGATCTTTTCTAAATGTTATTACTTGTAAATAAAGTCTATTTTTCTCCCTTGAGTGCTGAGCTGCCTTGATCTGTGTGGGAAAAGGAGGGATATCTAGACTCTTTGGAGAACATACCTTGTCCTAGCCAAGTCTTCCACATCTTCCCGGGGCTTTTCCCATATGTCATTTCTGACCTTAGCTCCTAAGGAACATTATGGGCTATTCTCTCTTTTCAGAGACCTACATTCCCCTAAGTCTGATTTTGTCTTTAGCTCTTAAATGGCAGTCCCACTCTTCCCATACTCCCTCCTGGGACAGGTGATGTTCCTGTGGGTAGACCTGAGGCCTAAATAAGTGAGCAGACGTTAAGATGCCCCCATTGAACAATCCTTTATGAAGATCCATGTGGGACCTGCTGGGGATGACAGATACAGTTGTGGATCAGAAAACACAGGGCTGGGCGTGGTGGTTCATGCCTATGATCCTAGAACTCTGGGAGGCCTAGGTGGGTGGACTGCTTGAGCTCCAGAGTTCAAGACCAGGCTCGGTGCCTGTAGCTCAGTAGCTAGGGTGACATAGTGAGACTCTGTCTCAAAAAAAAAAAAAAAAAAAGTTTGAGACCAGCCTGACCAAGAGCGAGACCCTGTCTCTAAAAAACATAGCCGGGCATTGTGGTGGGTGCCTATAGTATCAGCTACTCAGGAGGCTGAGGCAAGAGAACCACTTGAGCCCAGGAGTTTGAGGTTGCTGTGAGGTATGATGACAACACAGCACTCTACCCATGGTGACAAAGTGAGACTGTCTCAAAAAAAAAGAAACAATATAACACAACATGGCTCAGTCAGTGCCTGTAGCTCAGCAGCTAGGGTACCAGCCACATACACTAGAGCTGGCAGGTTCAAATCCAGCCCAGGTTGCCAAACAACGACAACTACAATCAAAAAATAGCTGGGCGTTATGACAGGCGCCTGTAGTCCCAGCTACTCAGGAGGGTGAGACAAGAGAATCGCCTAAGCCCAAGAACTGGAGGTTGCTGTGAGCTGTGACGCCACAGAATACTACCAAGGGCAACATAGTGAGATTCTGTCTCCAAAAAGAAAAAAAAAAAGCTGGATGTTGTGGTGGGTGCCTATAGTCCCAGCTACTCAGGAGGATGAGACAAGAGAATCGCCTAAGCCCAAGAACTGAAGGTTGCTGTGAGCTGTGACGCCACAGAATACTACCAAGGGCAACATAGTGAGATTATGTCTCCAAAAAGAAAAAAAAAAAGCTGGATGTTGTGGTGGGCGCCTATAGTCCCAGCTACTCAGGAGGATGAGACAAGAGAATCGCCTAAGCCCAAGAACTGGAGGTTGCTGTGAGCTGTGATGCCACAGCACCCTACCAAGGGTGACAGAGACTGTCTCTTAAAAAAACAAAACAAAACATGGAGTCAATGCAGATGACTTTCAGCCGAAGCTGAAAGAAGGTGTGTTTCAGCCAGGCTTCAGAGTTCACCTGTTGGGATGGTGAGCAAGAGGGGACCAAATGAGCAGAGGCATGGAAGTTGTCTGGGCCTCTGAAAAGTCCCGCAGGAATTATAGGCGGGGCCCTTGAGTACACTGCTAAGGCACTGACAGTCTCGGTGGTTTCTTAGCAGCAGAGCAGTGTGAAGAGAAAGGAAAAAGTAAGTTAATGTGTAAGTAGAAAGGATGGCAAGCAGGAGGAGGAAGCATTAAGGAAGTTATGAGGATTTCCTAGGCAGATGGGGAGTTGAATTTGGTAAGAGAAGGGAACCAAAGCGCACAGTAGGAGGAGGCTGGGGGGCGGCGGGGTGGGGTGGGGTCAGGGGTGGAGATAAGTTGCTTGCCCACACAGCCTACAGGCAGGTAGTACCCAGGCACTGGTCAGGGTTGTGCTGTTGCTGGCTCTGTGCTGATTCCTAACCCTGCTGATGTGGGCATCTGTGGCCCTGGGCTATGGCTGGCGGGCAGGGCTTCTTGAGTTGAGGGAAAAATTGTCCTCTGCCCAGCCTGGGGAAGTGAAGACAGACAAAGATCAGATTCAAGGAGTGAAGGGATATTTGTCACTTTCCTTCTGGCCATGCCTCCCCAGCCTGAGTTCCTTTAATTTCCGCCTTAGGCTGACCTCAGAGGAATGGAGGGTGTTAGTTGGAGGCTGCTCAGCAGAGCCTACACTCCCCCCACAGCAGTGCTCGTCCTTCCCTTGGGTTCCTCACCCAGAGCTGGGCCAAGGAAATGTGACGCTGGGCAACCTGGGCAGGGTCCACGAACACACAGGAGAAGTTGGTGCTGCGCAGGGCAGGGCTCAGCTCCTCCAGCACCAAGGCCTTCCACAGCCTTGTGCTTGTGTTTCCATGATCCCGGCTGGTGCACAGAGGTAGGAAAGGTCTTAAGAGGGCTGCAGCAGGAGGCCTCCCTCCCACTGGCCTGGCAGTTGTGACCTCACCTGGTGCTGCACTCTCGCAGAGGGCCTGAGAGGTGTTCAATGAAGGAACCATTGCCAAGCCAGTAGAGGATGCTGAAGTGTGGAAAGTGGCTACAGGCAGTACAGGACAAGGTCAGCGTTCCATCTAGGGACACATACAGCTGTCAGCCCTCCCATAGGCTGACAGACACCCTCCGCTCTGCCATGCTCTGCCCTGCCAACCCTGCCAACTCCCCACAGTCCTATACCATCTCAATGGGAAAGCCTGCTAAGGGGAAATGCAGTTGTCTACAAGAAAGACCCTAGGCCTGAGCACGGGAATGGGGGTCCTGTCCTTCATTCACATGAAGACGGCTGAGCCTGGTTCCTTAGGATGACCTCTTATAATGCCAGCCTCTGAGACTCCAGCAGCCAGCCTAGAAGGCAGCACTAGCAGGCTGCTGCTCCTCTGAGATGGCCAGAGGGCAAGCAGGCTCTGGGTGCAGAGGCTGGGCCTTCAAACATATGGTCATCAAGGCTCTGGAGGCCCTATGACTATTTCTCATGTCTGCCCTGTTTGATAAGGAACAATTTGGGAGCTGGGCCCTAAGCACCGCCCCCCCACACACACACACATGATGCTGGGTTGGGGAGAATGGTTTGTGGATGGCAAGAGATGATGCTCAGGAAATCAACCTGACCCTTGGACCCTCTGTGCCCACAGCCCACCCTCTGACCACTGTGCTCTCCTGGGTTCCCATCATACTTGCTCCTTACTTAGCGGCACTTCTGCTTCTGGCCAGATCACCTCCAATGCTGGGCATCGCTTAGTTGCTGGCAGCACTGAGCTCCAGGAAGAGCAGGGGTCCTTTATACTTCCAGCTGAGACAGTGGCAATTGTGCTGGTCTGAGGTATAGGTGTGGCTCTGACCAGGACAGTGATGATATAGGCACACAGTAGCAGGACCCACAAAGGACTGGCATCTGAAGAAAGGATAATCACAGAGGCCAAAAGCTAAGCTGCCTGGTAATTAATGCTCAGCATCCTGGCTCACATTCAGAGACAGAGGTGCTGGCTCCAGCCGAGTTTCTTTGGCTCTGGCCAGGGAATTAGAAGGGAAAGAAGGGCTCCAAACCGCCCCCACCCCCAGACTCCTTAGCCCTTTTGAATGGAGTACAGAGCAGCACTAGAATGGAGCCAGGGCCACGGCATCTGGACAGAGGCTTAAGGCAATAGCACAACAGTTGGGTTGGGTGGTGTTCAGCTCAGGGTGAAGATCCAGGGTTAGCCTGCAGCTCCATTGTGTCACAGACCCCATCCTACCCACCCACACACAGCCCCAAGTCCCACCTGGTATCCAGTTCTGTCTCCTGGTCATGATGCATGTGTCAGTAGCTGCTGGCCGCTGTGACTGTCCTTCCCTCAGTCAGAAGAGGCTTTATCCTCTTCCCTGAGGGGTGGGGTTACACCACTTTCTCAGTAGCTGTGGCTTTTTTTTTTTTTTTTGAGACAGCATCTCAAGCTGTTGCCCTGGGTACAATGCTGTGGCGTCATAACTCACAGCACCCTCAAATTCTTGGGCTTTAGGGATTCTTTTACTTCAGCCTCCCAAGTAGCTGGGACTATAGGCATCTGTCATAATGCCCAGCTCTTTTTTGGTAGTTGTCATTGTTGTTTGGCAGCCCTGGGCTGGATTCAAACCCACCAGCTCTGGTGTTATGTGGCTGGTGCCCTGGCCACTAAGCTATAGATGCCGAGCCTAGCTGTGGCTTCTGTAAACTCCACAGGTCCTTGGTCTGGCCTTTCAGGGAGCTGCCAGCATTGCTGTTTACTCTGTCCTGTTCATCTGTCCTAATGGATTACTCATAGAGAACAGCCATCAGCACAAACTGAAGCTCTGTCAGCACTGAGAAACAAAGCTGGGGGATCATCTAGTGACCATCTGACCCCACCCTCGCCCTTGCTGCCATTAAGTATCATGATGGTTATCAAGTCCAATCTCATTCCTTCATTAAGGATGGAGACACTGAGACCCAAAGAGGAGCCAGGGACTTTCCTGTTACAAAGGGAGACAATGTTCTCTCTCCTTGGCCAGAGCAGGTTCTGGGAAAGGCAAGATGTAGTGAAGCCTTTCTGGGAAAGTACTGCCCCTATCCTTTATTTCACTTTCAGTTTTATTCTAACCTGGTCAGAGCAGCCCTGCACCTCTTATTGGCCCAAAGCTTATGGCTGCCAGAAAGCTTTCTGTTAATTCTCACACTAACAGATATCTTCCCTGCCCCTAGCCCCAGGGCCACAGAGGGTGTGAACAGAGACCAATTCTGTCCCCACCACGGGTCAGGATTTTGATATGTGCCTCCATTCTTCAGAGCCAGGCCTCTTCCATTAGAGCAGGCATCTGCTGCCTCTTCCACGTTCACACTGATATTCAAGGGGACAGCTTTCCTAGGCACTGGGGACCCCAAGCTGGATCATTTTGACTATTTCAGTCTCTGCCACACCTGCCCATTTGCACCTTGGCCTTCTTCAGGCCAGAACTGCAGGGCTAGGTTCTCTTGCAGTTCTAGACTCTTCCCCACCTCCACCTCCCAAGAAGTCACTTTTATTCAGAAGCTCCCTTCTGGGAACTCCAAGGTTCAGCTTAGCTGTGCCTAGTTGCATTGAACCCTGCAACAGGAAATACACCGTGCACTTAGCCCTTAGCCGTAGGAACTCATAGCCAAGCCAGGGACTTGGAACACAAAGTCTAGAGAGCTGGTCCTAAAAAGAGGGGAGGGTTCTTCCAGAGAGAATAGGCAGAATGACTCAGAGGCTATCTAAATACGCTCATGGGCAAATGGAGCTGGGGCTGTGGCAGGACCAGGACCAGGGTGAGGCCCCTAGGATGCAAAGTCTAAGGAGGTGCTCACTCTCAGGGTCGTGCAAGCATCTGTGGGGGCACCAGGCTGGGTGATCCAGTGCACACATATATCAAGTGTAGACAAGAGCTATGTCTCTGAGCTTTGTGATTTCTGTGGTCAGGAAGGGCTGACGATATAGCCAATGGGGCCAGGAGATAGAACTGAGTTTAGAAGAGCATTGGGAACATAGTCAGCTGTAAGGTGAAATTTTTCATGGAAAAACCATATTCGGCTCGGCGCCTGTGGCTCAAGCGGCTAAGGCGCCAGCCACATACACCTAAGGTGGCGAGTTCGAATCCCCAGCCTGGGCCTCCCAAACAACAATGATGGCTGCAACCAAAAAATGGCCAGGCATTGTGGCGGGCGCCTGTAGTCCCAGCTACTTGGGAGGCTGAGGCAGGAGACTCGCTTGAGCCCAGGAGTTGAAGGTTGCTGTGAGCATGATGCCATGGCCCTCTACCCAGGGGGATAGGTTGAGGCTCCGTCTCAAAAAAAAGAAAAAAGAAAAGAAAAACCATATTCATACTTGCATTCCTAATTTAGACAGAGACTGAAAGTCACATCCTCTTCTCTGGCGTCCATACGTAGTTCACAGTCCCTCTCCTCTCAGTTCCTCCCTCAGTTTTCCCAGAAGCTGCTAGGCCGCAAATACCAGGGCAAATTCCTCCCCAGGAACACCGTATTTCCAGGAGTTAGGCCAGGAGGCAAGGCCACCTAAAGTTTCTGAGAGACACAGTCCAGTGGGTGACAGATGAGGGATGGCAGGCAGAGGAGGCAGAATCTACCTTAGGGTGTAACCATGGACCTTAGGACTGTTAAGTACAAAAAGACAGCTTTGGACAGCCCTGTCTCAACTTCTAACATGAGTATGATGTGGGAGTGAGGAGAACAAAGGTGGAGGAAGGGTGGTCCCTGGGTCCCTTGGCCAGTTCTCATTCTCCTGAGGATGAGCCCACAGGTGGTCTCAGCAGTAGGGCAACATGGGAAGCCACAGCTGGTCAGAGCAGCTAAGACTGAGAGTGACCCTGAGGGCAGGTGGTGGCAGGACACTGGTCTCAGGCAGTAATGATATAAAGCCTGAAAGAGGGTCAGAGATGCCCCAGGGTTCCTTAGCCAGAGGACAAGAATCAGGCATTTCACCATTTCCAGGGATATTGGAAAGTGAATAGTGGCAAGGCAGAGCCAACCACCCCCAGGCCTTATGTGGAGGGAAACAAAGACCAGACATTCCTGGGGACCCCGGGGATAGTAAGAAGAAAAGCAAGATGGATATTCAGCTTTCCAACCCAGCTCATGGAGCTTTATTCAGACGGGAGTGACAAGACCCTGCTTGGTTCTTGTTGGGCCATATTTCCTGGAAACCCAGTGCTGAAGGCCCATGTTTGGCCTCTTATTTTCTTCAAAACTCCTAAGACCCTTTCAGAACCCATACTCACCAAGGTCTTATCCCTCTTTCCATCCACCCACCACTCCTGTCATCAGGCTCAGGAAGGACCATTCATGAATGACAAAGCTCATGGAGGACAGTCTCTGGGCTGGCAATCCCCGACCAGCTTCAAGGGCACATCGTGTGACAAGAAGTTGACATCTGTCACAGCCCACTGCCACGCATACATGCACACAGACTCACATACATTTGCACTCTTTCTCAGGCTTTCAATAAGGAAGTGGCAGAGAGGCCTTTGGCACATGTCACCATCACCACTACTCCACAGGATTCACTGAGAATCAGCTTGCATAGGGCCCCTCAATCATGGCCAATAGCTGCCCCCAGGGCCCAATATATAAATGGCCTCTATTCTTGGCTGACCATACCCCACCCAAGGGCAGGTTCTTCATGTGGCTAATTCTTCCAAATGTCCCAAAACAAATTTTCAATGAATTGAGAGGCCCCAGGTCTTCCTCTGTTAGGGAAGTCCTAGATGAGGTTCCACTTGCATTAACTAGCCCATAGCTCCTGGATGGGGGAGGAACACACTTGGGCCCTCGGTGCTTGCTCACCGGTGGCACCAGCCTGAGCTTACCAGCTCTTCCTCAGGCTTGAGCCCCACAGAGGGAAGGACAGGGAAGCAGGTGGGCTGACTCAACAACCATGTAGTTGATGCTTTGCACGAGCTACTTGAGAGCCCACGAGTACTCTCAACCCCAGGGAGAAGGCTTCTTTAAACCAAAAATGGCTCTGCTCCCACCCTGCTCAGGCGGGAAAGTGAGGCCTGGAGGGGGGCAATTCCTATGCTCCACAATAAAAAAGATTTTTTAAATATATTCATCAAAATAGTTTTCTTTTAAAAAGCCCCCCACTGCTGACAGCCCCACTGGCTGGCTCTCCATCATGTCTCATACCAGTCCGGACACAGCCGGAGGGGTCCTGAGTGGCCCAAGTGCCCCTGTGAGTCTTTCCCACCCAAGAAGTCTTTGTGGGCAGGGAGGAGAGTGCCCTGAGGTCCACGGTGGGTGGGGTGGGTTCTCCACTGATGTTCTTCCTGACTATTCCAGGCCTAGGATGTAGTTGATGCCTTGCACGAGGCCAATGATGACAGGCTGCCAGGCTACCAAGTATCGAAGCCAATCCAGCAGCTGTCCATACATGACGTGAGGCCTCTCCCAGCTGTCAGTGTGTTAAAGAAAAAGAGGCTACATGTAAGAGTTACTAAAGTTGATCAAGTGGTGGGGAGGGGGAGGTAACCCCCAGGTCTTCCCTGGGTCTGCTCCACAGCCTAGAAGAAAGAAAGCTGCTTTCTGCAAGGGCCCACCCAGCTTCCCTTCAGTTCTCCATGTTAGAAAAAGGAGCTGAACCCAGAGAATGGGGGAAGGAGGGCAGAAAGGACTGCTGTGAGAGATAGGACAGACTGAGAGAGTGGTGTTGAGGTGTATCTTGGTGCTCTATGAGCAACGTGCAGGGAGAGCCTCCCCTGTAACTTTTTTTTTCTAAGATGGGACTGCCAGTCTGAGAAAACACAGCCTGAGGCCCCACAAATGTGTCTGTAACAATCACTGCAAGGGGGCTGGGAGTGGGATAAGGTAAATCCCAAAGGTTCTGCTAGTATCCAAAATTGAAGGTTTTCTTCTACTCAATGTTCCAAAGTTAAACAAAAACAAAACTGAAGGTTTTCTAAGTCAGGAAGAGGGTGAGTCTAGAACAGAGCCAGAAGGAGCAACAACCAAGAAGCAAGAGGAAACCCCCTGCCAGTGGCTCTAAAGAAAGGCCCATCTAGGGGCACTAAGCCCTAGGCCCTACCAAGGCCAAGAAGCCCTAAAACTGAGTTTCCCTCCTTTTGCTTTATTTTATTCAGGGGTAGGGGGCCAGACAGAGTCTCACTGTCACCCACGCTGGAATACCCTGGCATCATTGTAGCTCACTGTAACCTCAAAATCCCATGTGTTAAGCCTCCCAAGTAACCAGTACTACAGACTCATACTACCATGCCTGGCTAATTTTTTTTATTTTTTGTAGCGATGAGGTTTCCCTATGTCGCTCAGGTTGGTCTCAAACTCCTGGCCTCAAGCAATCCATGTGCCTCGGCCTCAAAAAATACTGGGATTACAGGAGTTGAGTCACCATGCCTGGCCAAAACTTTACCTTTCTTGCTTTACATCTACATGCTGGGCAAGGGTTTGGAGATGGGGCCTGGGAATCTAGCTCTGGAGAAAGCACAGGGAAAAGTTCATGAAACTGTGGGGGAAACCCTCCACAGGCAACAGAAATATCAGTTGGCCCAGATCTCTGAGAACTAAAGAAAGTCCCAAGCCTCAGCTTGGTGGTGCGGTTATACAGCTGTTCCTGAACTGGGCCCTGGAAGAACTAAGCAGGGAACTTGAGAGGGGATAGGCCAATCTCCTATTCAGTGACTTCAGGAGTGTGCCAGGAACTAGGCCATGCTGGTATTCTTCATGTAGCCCAGCTAGTGTAAAGGGAAAAAGGAATAGGGAGGAATCATGGAGCTAAGAGGGTAGCTGGGAGAAGAAAGGGGAGAAAGCGGGGGTGTCTGTGAGTCCCAGGGGAATTGAAGGTGGGACAAAAGAAGTGCTTGGGCACTCTCCAATAGACAGAGTGTAATGAAGAAGCGGGGCAGGTGACGGCAAAGCAGGGAGGGCTGGCTGGTCTGGAAGTGGTAGCTCAGAGGAGCATAAGCGTTGCACTAAGAGCAAATGGGTACAAATGGGTACAAAGGGCCCAGCCATCCCTGCACTGGCACAGAGCTGATCTCCAGCACTGTACAATAGAAGGAAGGTATCAGTCGTTAGTTGTGTAGCCTTGACTAAGTTACTCAACCTATAAACCATTTCATTTGTAAAAGGAGGATAGTATTATCCCAGTCATATAGTTGCTAGATCATCAAATGGGCTTAATAACAAGTAAAATATTTAACACAGTGCCAGGCACACAGTGAGGAAGCAGTGATAGCTGTTATTACTATCAACTTGTTACCCTCGAGGGATATAGAGCTATGATGGGAAGTTGACCTTTGAGTTCTGCCCTGCATCCCATCCCCAACTTCCCCAGAACAGAAGCCAAATAGAATTTTGGACATGTCCCAGTTGTGGGCAGGAGATAGGGCCCCTGAGGACCCAAATGCAGAGTCACATTGGCCAGTATTTTCTTTCCACTGCCCTCTCCCAACAAGGACTCAAACAAAGGATACGGATTGCTGAACATCCTTTTGAGGTCCACCTTCTCTTTGCAGTAGGGACACGTCTGCTTCTTTCCCACGATGCACCAGCCACGGATGCAGAACTCATGGAATCTGAGCACTGGTCAAGGGAAATGGTGGATGGCGAGAAGCCAGGATGACATTCTAGGCTTGTGCCAGTCTTCATAGTGCCCATGCACCATCTCTAGAGAAAGGTTCAAATCCTGGCTTCACTTCTTACCAGCTCTGCAATCTGGGGCAAGTCCCTCCCTCTGAACCTGTTTCTTCACATGCGAAGTGAGTGAGGGTAATGATCCCTATCCTGCAGAGTTGCTATGGGGGAAAATGGAGATAATACAGATAATACATGCATCTCAAATACAAGTACAGAATGGGAGCTGAGTAAATATATGATTAATATTAAAAGTGTTATTCAGAAAAGGGGATTTCATTTTAAACTAAGAGATCTTGTTAAAGGGTCCTCTTCCTCTGCACAGCCTCAGTGGCTATAGCCTCAGGATGCTCTCAGACCCAGCCAAGCTAGAACCGCTGTTTACAAAAAGGTGGCTCCAGTCTGTGAGGAAGGGTAAAGAAGGCTGCCCTCTTGTGTCTCTCCTACACCTAACGATCTGGACAGCATGCCCACGCCCACAACCACCCGCTTCCCTCCCTCACTGGAGAATACATGTCACAGGATAGAGGTGCCCCAGGAGTTCAAGAGAGGATACACATGATTGCAAGACAGTCTATATGTGTTCTCAATGATGCCCTCTTCACTGACATCCACGAAGATCTGCTGTCCACACACGGCACATACGCTGTCTGAGAGGTGTTTGGTGGGCATGCCTGATTCACTGTAGAACTAGAAAAAAGCAGGAGGAAAAGCTGTGAGAAGCGAAACTGGAAATGCCAGAACCAGAAGCCTTACTTCTTCTAGAGAGGAGGCAAAGCAGGAGGGGGCCCACAGAGTTTCAGGGTTCTTTTTTTTTTTTAAAGGGACATGGTCTCCCTTTGTTACTCAGGCTGGAGTGCCATGCTATGATTACAGCTCACTGCAGGTTGAACTCCTGAGCTCAAATGATCCTCCCACCTCAGCCTCCAAAGTATCTAGGACTACAGTTACATGCCACAGTACCTGGCTAATTTTTTAAATTTTTGTAGAAAAGAAGTCTTGCTATGTTACCCAGGCTGGTGTTGAACTCCCATTCTAGCGCAATCCTCTCATCTCAAACTCCCAAAGTGCTAGGACTATAAGGCTAAGCCACCACACAGGGCCAAGAGGACATCTTTTATTAGCCAAATCAACCTCATCTTTATTAGGCAGATGGGGAAATAGATTGGGAAATCAGATGCAATAGGACCTGAGGATTGGCTCGGTCTACATTAGAGACACAGGGATGAGGGGGAGAAGGACTCAGGGCTGGTGATCAGGAGGTGAGTCAAGTAATTCATTCTGTGGCCAGATTATGGTGCCAGCAGAGATGGACATTATTCTCCAACATTTAAAACAGTGAAATATTAGGTGTGCTGTTGGTTTGGTGGCATGGGCATTCTCAGACATTTGTGGCAGCAGCAAAAGAGGCTCAATCCTTTTGGACAACATTAGGCATGGTATCTCAAACTGTCACACACTTTGACCCATTAATATCAGTTCAAGGAATTTAAATAATAAGTGGAAATGTCAAAAAAGTTTCATGTATACAGATATTCATTTAAGCATTATTTATAATTAAAGAAGCAAAGAATCTGACATTTCCTCATAAAGTTAAATATACAATTACCACAGGACCAAGCAATTCCATTCCTTGGCATATACACAGAAGATATGAAAACTAAACAGATACTTAAAAGCCAATGCTCTTGTCAGCATTATTCATAATAGGCAAAAAGTGGAAACAACCCAGGTGTTCATCAACAGATGGATGGATAAATAAAATATGGTATACGAGTACACACATAATGGAATATTATTCAGTCACAGAAAGGAATGATGTTCTGATTATGTTCTATACACAAATGAACTATGAAAAGACTATATTAAGTGAAAGAAGTCAAATACAAAAGGACAAATATTGTATAATTCCACTTATACAAAATATCTACAATAAGCAGATTCACAATGATAGAAAGTAGATTAGTGGTAACCACAGACAGTGGGGAGATGATAATGGGGAGCTACTGCTTAATGGGCACAGTTTCTGTTTGGGATGATGAAAAATATTGGAATTAGACAGTGACAACGATCATACAACACTATCAATGTAATTATTTGTTTGTTTGTTTGTTTTAGAGACAGAGTCTCAAGCTATTGCCTTGGGTAGAGTGTCATGGTGTCATAGTTCATAGCAACCTCCAACTCAGGATCAAGCAATCCTCTTGCCTCAGTTTTTCTCCCTCTGTTGCCCAGGCTAGAATGCAGTGGTGTCATTATAGCTCACTGCTACCTCAAACTCCTCAAGGGATCCTCCTGCCTCTGCCTCCCAAGTAACTGGGACTATAGGCCTAGGCCACCACACCTGGCTAATTTCTTCATTTTTTGCAGAGATGGGGTCTTGCTATGTTGTTCAGGCTGTTCTCAAACTCCTGGCCTCAGGCGATCCTCATGCCTCAACCTCCCAAAGTGCTAGGATTACAGATGTGAGCCACTTCACCCAGCCTATGAATATAATTAATACACTTAAAAATGATGAATTTTATGTTTTATACATAGCTATATAAATATCACTATATGTATATATCCACAATTAGAAAAATAGTAAGAAAAAAAGCAAACAAATGAAAATAACCATAAATGACCAATAATAGGAAAATGTTTAAATAAATGATGGTAACAGTCGATGGACTAACAGAGAGTCAACTGATGCTTAACATTAAGTACCAAAGGCAGGGTACAAAATCAGATGCACAGAATGACTGGTAAAGGTAAGCCCAAATCCTCACAAAGAAAAAAGACCAGAGGGAAATCTATCTGAATGCTGAAACTGGTGATATTTTGGTATTGGGATTATAAATGACTGTTTTCTTTTGCCTACTTTTATGCACTAAAATTTTCCTTAATGTACATTACTTTTAGATTAAAGACTATTACCACAGTTAATAACAATGGATAACCAATAATCAATCCCCATGCTCCAAAAAGAAATTCCAAATTTTGTGTTTATTTTTAAACAGCTACATAGCATTTTTCCTCCTAAAGAGAAAACACCAAAATTTATTGGTTGAAATTTTCTAAGACCTATTGGTTTTTTTCTATTCATAAAAAATTATGTGTATGGCTCAGCGTCTGTGGCTCAAGCGGCTAGGGCACCAGCCACATACACCAGAGCTGGCGGGTTCAAATCCAGCCTGGGCCTGCCAAAAAACAATGACAACTACAAGCAAAAAATAGCTGGGCGTTGTGGTGGGCGCCTGTAGTCCCCTGATACTTGAGCGGCTGAGGCAAGAGAATAGCTTAAGCCCAAGAGTCTGAGGTTGCTGTGAGCTATGATGCCCTACCAAGGGTGACATAGTGAGACTGCCTAAAAAAAAAAAATTATGTGTTTAAAAAATAGAAATAACATAAAATTGACCATTTTAACCCCACCCCCCTTGTTTTTGAGACGGTTTTACTTTGTTACTCTGGGTAGAGTGCCGTCAGCAACCTCAAATCCTTGGGCACAAGCGATCCATTTGCCTCAGCCTCCCAAGTAGCTGGGACTATAGGCACCTGACACAACACCTGACTACTTTTAGAGAAGGGGTCTCACTCTTGCTCAGGCTGGTCTTGAACTCCTGACCTCAGGCAATTCACCCACCTTGGCCTCCCAGTGCTAGGATTATAGGCGTGAGCCACTGCACCTGGCTCTTAACAACTTTTATTTTTATTTTTTTATCTTTTTTTTTTTTATTGGGATTATAAATAACTGTTTTTGAGACAGAGTCTCACTTTGTTGCCCTTGGCAGAGTACCATGGCATCACAGCTCATGGCAAACTCAAACTCTTGGGCTCAAGTGATTCTCTTGCCTCAGTTTCCCAAGTAGCTAGCTATTTTTAGAGACAGGTCTCCCTCTGGCTCAGGCTGGTCTCAAACCTGTGAGCTCAGGCAATCCACCTGTCTTGTCCTACCAGAGTGCTAGGATTACAGGTGTAAGCTACTGTGCCTGGCATTTTATTTATTTATTTATTTTTTGAGACAGAGTATCACAGCAACCTCAAACTCTTGGACTCAAGCAATCTTCTTGCCTCATTCTCCCGAGTAGCTGGGATTACAGGCACCCAGCTATTTTTAGAGATGACATCTTGCAATGCCTCAGCCTCCTGAGTAGCTGGGACTACAAGTGCCCAGCTATTTTTAGAGATGATATCTCGCAATGGCTTAGGCTGGTCATGAGCTCAAGCGATGTACCCATTTTGGACTCCCAGATTGCTAGGATTATAGGTGTGAGCCATTGCACTCAGCCTTCTTAACCACTTTTATTTATTTATTTATTTTTGAGACAGAGTGCTCGCCCTGGCGTCACAGCTCACAGCAACCTCCAGCTCTTGGGCTTAGGTGATTCTCTTGCCACAGCCTCCTGAGTAGCTGGGACTACAGGCACCCACCACAACATCTGGCTATTTTTATTTTTGCTGTTTTTGTTGTTGTTGTAGCAGTTTGGCTGAAACAGGGTTCGAACCCGCCACCCGTGGTATATGGGGCCAATGCCCTACTCACTGAGCCACAGGCACTGCCCCAACCACTTTTAAATGTACAATTCAGTTGTATTAAGTGTATTCACATTGTTGTACAGCCCAGTGCTAGAACCTTTTCATCCTTCAAAACTGTAAAATGGATTTTTTTAAAGCCACCTGCCTCTATTATTATGATTTTATCTGTATCTGTGAGGTAGATTAATTATAATACTTAGTCTTAGGCGCCAGCCACGTACACCTAAGGTGGCGGGTTCAAATCCCCAGCCCGGACCCGCCAAACAACAATGATGGCTGCAACCAAAAAATAGCCGGGCG